CCAGGGAAGCCGCGTGTTTTGAGCGCGGTGATTTTACTGCTGCGGGTGGCACTGGCTGACGTGGGTCCTTCTGCCCGGCATCTCCCCGTGCCAGCCGCGCGCTCCCTTCTCCCCTCCGGCGGCTGAGGACCGTGGGCTTTCTGGCAGCCGCTCGGTACAAAACTGCACCTTCCTGAAGCAGTGCCAGGTCCTGCTTAGAAGAGGTTTCAACAAAAGGTGCAGAAAGGAGGAAAAAAACCGCTAACAAAACCGCATGAAAACGGGGGTGACTCATGCTGCAAACAATAGGAATAGGAGTAACACAGACACAGCAGCAAACATTTGCGAGTGTGGATGTTTAAATTTAAGCATGTAAATATGTACTGAAGCATGTCAGTAAATCCCAGTTTGAGTAGCTGAATGTTTGTTTGAAAATTGCGAGCTGTATATTTAGCAGGAGTTGTCCCGCCTTGCTGTTTGGAAAGACGGCTGTGCCGCTGTCCTGGGCCACGCTGTTTCAGCCAGGAGAAGGCTGCAGTTGTTTGTTTGTTGCTTAAATTTGAATCACAGTAGTAAATAGCTGCGGAAAGGATGAGAAACCAGAAGTTTAAACTCCAAAAGAAGTTAAGGCAGACAAGGTTTGCAAACCCCACACTGTAATTTATGGAGTCCATTAAGTCAGCTACTTTTGCCTCTGGATTATATTTAATTTGTCTTCAGAAGTTTTGCGGGGAGGGGGGTTATCCCACTGTTCCCGCTCTGCCCAATCGCTTCCAGTGCGGCGGGCTGGAGGGCTGCTTTAGCAGTTTGTTGGAAGTGGCCAGTTCAGGAACATATCCAGCTTGTGACAAGCTGCAGAAAAGCTTGCCGAGTCTGGGGGAAGATATTTACCATCCCTTTGTGCTGCTCGTGACAGGCTCCTCTTTGCACCTCATCGCCGCTTGACGTACGACACCTTCCTTCACTCGGGCTTTCCTGCAAAGCCTTCCCTCGGAGGCCACCGGCAGGATTTGCGCTAGGGAGACGCGGCGTGCCAGAGAGATGGGCCTGGGGCTGGCACGGCCGGCGGGGGCCGTCCGTGGCGGCGTCGGACCGCGCGCGTAGCCAGGCTGGAGGATTCGCGGTGGTGCTCCACCCCGACGGGCGATTCATGAGCTGACTGCTTCTCAGGTCCTGCCCTGGTAGCGCCTTAATTATGTGCAATGTAACATGACATTATTTTCCAGGAAACAATTTTCATCATGTTAACTTTATTATCTAAATATAGTATCCCTTTTCATTTGTTTTCTAAATCCCCTCTTTGTCTTATATCTCTCGACATCCCGTGGGTGCTGTAGCTCTGAATTAACGTCCTTCTTTTAGTTCTGGCAGAGACATAACCAGTCTAGAAACATGTCTGTGTTGCTTCTTCCTGTCTAGAGAAGGGAAAACTCCCACAAACTGCCCGCAACGATGGCACGCAGCATAGGCATGTCCACTGCCTAGGACGGGATTCCCTTTGGTTCATCTCCCAGCTGATAACGTTGTCACATATAAAGTGAGTTAGGATGGACTCAACAAAAATGATGTTTGTCTCAAGAAAAAATTGGGCCCCAATCCTACCTGCATATATTCAAAGAAGAGTAGCTTTATCAGTTGGAGCAGTACTCCTGGTGCTGGTGGCACCGCCGGCAGAAGCGAGGCTCCTCTGCGATGCCAGGCTGATAATCAGCTGAGGAGAAGGTGCTGTCATTTCTAGATCACAGCAAGACTTTACAATGAATTTGGCTCAGGCTCAGGCTGGATGTTACACAGGATCACTTGGGAGAAAGGTTCATCCAAACTGTGTCTCTTGTTCCTGAACAGAAGCCAAACTGGTGGCCCTGATGGGTCAAGGACATTGCATGGCTTTCCCCAGAAGACAGGAGGAGATCTGCTGTGAGAGAACTGGTTGCTCATGACAGTAGAGGGACCTCGGGTTTTGAACAGGAATAATTTGGTCTCTGCCAGTTAGGGTGCTCATTTATTAAACAAATAAACGTCAGATCTTCGTGAAGGAGCTAGACAGACTGCAGTGTCTACTAGTCAGAGGAGCTGATGTTCCCGTTCCTGAGATTAGTCCTTGTGGATGGTGTCACCCTTCCAGTACGATCAGCCAAGCACCCAAATTCAACAAAAATACCAGCCTTTGGGAAAGAGCACCAGCAGAGCAGAAGTCCCAAAACATTGTTCCACAGTGACAGATTGCACAAATCCACATCAGTTGATCCAAAGAAGAAAAGTGAAGGACAGACATTAAAACAGGTTTGGAACATCTGAAGACCTGCTGCAAAGTGGAAAGCAGCAGTGTGTTCTCTGTGTCCTTGTGGAGAAGGAAGAAAACCATGAACTAAATGACAGGACATGCTTTAATCTCAGGAAGATGCGAGATGAGCGTTAGGAACACCTTTCTAACAGGAGGATAGTTTAATGACAGGCTCAGTTGTCAAAAACCAGGTGAGACAGGTCTGAGGAGTGACGGATGTCACAGGAGAGGGGAGCGGGCTCTGCTCCTCCTGAGATGGTTTCTTGCCCAAGGATACCTTATTGTGTTAATGCAAAGATGTCCTGTTTTTACAGAAGTTGATGGCAAATCATTAAACCTTTGTCTCTCCTCCAGGTACTGCTGGGAATGCTCCTGTAATTATTCAATTGTCATTTATGGTGGGCGTTTGTAGCAGGAGCCCAGCCATCGTAACCCATACTTGAGCTCTGCTGGGCCACCGGTGCAAGAAGTGTTATGGTCGGACTTCTGGCAGGCTGCAGGTCGATTCAGCGTCATTAATAAGTAACAACCAGAAAACAAGATACTGTTCATAGTTTTGGTGCTTTAAGTTGGTTGCTTTTCCTGGTACTTGGATGTCTTGGACTTTGCGAAAGCTGGTTGTTTATAGTATAAAATATTTGTTCTTCGCCGTTGGACAGCAGTGGAAAGTCTTCACTGCTCTGAATAAAGAAAAATCAAAGGGAAGGCTTTTTCCCTTCTTATTATGGCACGAAGGTTGTTTATTCTGCTCAGGTTGTGTAAGCTCTCCATAGCAGAGACTATGCA